ATCTTGGTATCTATGATGAGTTTATTTACAATCAACAGTCATTAAAAGTAATTCTGAATAAAAACAAATGTAACAATGAAGCCAAGTAGCCTGATTAATGCTCCAAAACAAAAACCTTTTTTTTTTTAATTTCCATGTTTATTCATGAATTTGGAGATATACAATTTTAATATTTACCATTTAAATATCTGAATAAGATTACAAAACTTTAAATTAAACCATTAATATTAATTTTTTTTTATAAAAAGTAGGGCGAACGGACTCTATGGGCGAACGGACTCAGGGCAAACGGACCCAGGGCGAACATGTAATTAGGGCGAACGGACCCGATACCAATTTTTTTAGTTACTGCTGTCTCGTTTCTTTTGAGGTAATTCGTCGTTATTTACTGATGTGAGTAAGGGAATTTAGATAATGAAATTTTAAAAAATCGGAGACCTAACAATGAGATAAGATAAACTGATTTTTTTATACCACCAGAGAGGCTTGTATAGGGTATATTCGGATATGGGATATTTGCCATTTTAATTTTAGGGATATGGGATATTTGTCCTAAAAATAAATGAGATATGGGATATTGGTGCATTTTTAGGGATATTGAATTTTGAAAATGAAAAATGAAAAAAAATGTGAAAATTAAAAGTTAAGTACAGAAATATTTACATCTCACTTGATAAAATTGCCAACAAAAATTACTAGAAAAAGTTATTTAAGTGCTTTGTTGATTTTCATTGAGTTTTGTTATTATAAAACACCCATGCAAACACGCATCCCAAATTGCATGATAGGACCCAACACGTACTATTGATCTTGATTTTTTCAAAAGGAAGAACGACAAACCCTCCACTTTTCCGATTCAACAATCATCATATTGAAACTGTAAAAAACTTTAACTACTTAGGAATTATTTTCAGCAAAACAGGCAGCTTTAAACAATGCAAACAACATCTAAAGGACAAAGCAATAAGTGCAATGTACGAAGTTTTAAGGAAGGGAAGAATTCACAATTTATCAATTAAATGCCACGTAAATTTATTTGACTTACTGGTAAAACCTATCCTGCTATATGGATGCGAAATATGGGGTTACGAAAACATAGATATACTAGAAAGAGTTCAAACTAAATTTTTTAAGCTACTTTTACATCTTAAGCCATCTACTCAAAACGACTTCATTTATGGAGAACTGGGTCGGTATCCCCTAGAAATAGATATAAAAACTAGAATTGTATCTTATTGGACAAAATTAATTACCGGTAAAGAAAGTAAGCTCGCTGCTGTAATGTTTAGATACCTTTTCAAGTTGGCACAAGAAACAACATTTCGATCGCGATCGTTGGACAAGATGAAAAGTATTCTAGACAATTGTGGATTCTCTTACTTATGGTCATTCCAAAACACATCACCTAACATTAAATCAGGTCCTTTGTGCAGAGTTGCTATAGGTGACGAATACCACTATGTAATGGAATGCAGCAGTCTCCTGACAGATAGAACACTACTTATTGACAAGAAATACCTAACGAACTGTAATGTTTTAAAATTTAATGCTATTATAAACCAAAAACAGAAATCTAAACTTCGAAAATTGTGCCAATTCATTAGAATTATAAATGACAAACTGGATTCTCTCTGATGATAACCTGTCGGATATACTGATCATACCGTTGTAAAATAACTCATATTTAATTATTCCTCAACAAATGTACAATGCAATGTAATGTAAATTAATGTTTTTCTGTATACCTTTGTTCAACTTAGGTGATACCAGAATAAAATGATATATATCACTATTTTAGTGTTTCGGCAGTTAAAGCTTGGGATTTGAGGCTCTGGCTTGGGATGGTCATTTTAGATGCATTATTTTAATATAATCAAATATGAAAATTATTCATAAAATTGAGAATGTATATATTGATATATTTATATTTTAATTCTTCGTCAATAGGTCTAGTTATTATGACAGATCTGCCATCATCAGGGGTCTAACTGTCAATTTTATGTTAAAGTCTTCAACTTTGATCTACTAAGCATATCTCCAACACTTTTATGTTTGCTATACGCAACTATTGGTGCAGCATGGAATATTTATACACAATCTTCGTCAAACTGTAATAAATGCCCGTTTCTTTATTTTACGTATATATATATATGGGTTATATTTAGTTATCAAAACTAACGGAATATTTTCTTTTTCCTTCGATTTATTTTGCTGTAATAATTCAGTACGGTCAATTGATAAAGCATCAGTAATACTATCATCTATTTCGACGTTATCATAACCCCTATTTAATAATTTCACTTTGAAATTAGTTAGATTGTTTATTAAATTGTTATGGTTATTTGTGTTTCTAATTTGCCGTATTGCTTCACCTTTAATAAATCCTCGGAATACATGCTGTGAGTGACAGCTATTTCTATGCAGATAGAGATAAGAATTTGTTTCTTTAAAATGTATTTCAAGGTCAAGAATGCCATGTGTTGTAGATCTTTGACCTTTAATTACATGAACATCTAAGAACGACATTTTGTCGTTTGAGATTTCATAGGTGGACTTCAATAAGGGGTTATAATTATTTGCTAGACGAAAAGAATCTGCAATTTCATCTGATATGTTCCATCATATATTATGAATCCATCGTCCCTATATTTTTAACCTATAATATAAAATTAAACAGACCTAGAAAAATCCTATTGCACGAGTTTGTTATCTATTTATATCTATATTTATGTTTATAAATCGCTTATATGACCGTCGGCAGTCTTCGGAGGTCAACTCTATAGTTAATTAGATGGGGTCTAGACTAAAATACACAAGAAACGATGAAACATATTATCGAGCCCATGCCTTGTAAATTGTTTATTTTATACTTTTTATAATTTGGATATATGTTTTAGTATGCTATAAATCAAATATGAGAATTTGAGTCAAATCGATGAACATGAATTTGACAACCATGAATTTAATTGGCAGTAATGTTGAGTATTTAGTTGTCTTGTGACTTCTGTTATGTACAGTCTAGTCTGTCTGAAATAACACAATTTGAATTGTTATCTGCCTTTTTTATTAATATTGTTTCATCATTTTTCAAACTGTGTACTTGCTATTCTTTCGCCCTTAGTTAGATTGTTTGTTTTTTTTATTTATTAGAAAAGATAATTCAAGCTTTGTTAAATCGATATAATTTTCCGACGTATGGCACGTAGAAGTAGGTTTGTATCCTGTATTGCTATGAAATGGATGAAGGTTATTTTTGTCGAGCCTTCGACTTTTGTCGAAAAAGCGAGACATAGCAATCCTACATTCCGTCGTCGTCGTCAGCGGCGGCGGCGGCGTCCACAAATATTCACTCTGTGGTTAAAAGTTTTTGAAATTTTAATAACTTTCTTAAACTATCCTGGATTTCTACCAAACTTGGACAGAAGCTTGTTTATGATCATAAGATAGTATCCAGAAGTTAATTTAGTAAAAAAAAAATCAATTTTTTCCGTTTTTTACTTATAAATGCCCCCCCCCCCTTCCCCCATAAATGGACTTAGTTTTTCTGCCACGAAATATAACATTCACTCTGTGGTTAAAGTTTTTAAAATTTTAATTACTTTCTTAAATTATCCTGGATTTGTACCAAACTTGGACAGAAGCGTGTTTATGATCAAAAGCTAGTATCTAGAAGGAAATTTTGTTAAAATTTTGTACCTGTTTTTCTGTATTTTACTTATAAATGGACTTAGTTTTTCTTCCAGTTAACATTACATATAGTCTGCAGTTAAAGTTTTTAAAACATTTATTAGATTCATAAACTATCCTGGATTTTTACCAAACTTGGACAGAAGCTTCTTACAATCAAAAGATAGTATCGAGAGGAATATTTTTATTATTTTTTTTCCTCATTTTTGTTGAGCCTGCGATTAACAGCAAAAGTAGGTGAGACACTGGGTTCCGCGGAACCCTTACAAATTTTTTTCTTCATGACTGAACATATATCGACATCGCAGTTGTCTAGTAAATTCACTGTAGTCTTTTAGTATAGACATTTTTGCATTTTTGCTTGATGGCGTTGGTATACATTTCAAGCCTTTCGCCAACAGGATATATTCCTGATTTGATAATTTGCGTTTTAATAGATTAACTACATGCTTTTTTGCATGTGCAGCTCTTTGCTGCATATTATATTCATTCCGTTCTTTTTTTTATTGTAGAATTGGATTTTTTTGCTTCTTAGCATTTCTATCAAAACGACGTGTCATCTGTGAGTTCCCATTGGGTGATTCTCTTAGCTACGTGCCTTTGATGAGCTCACATTTGGTGGCTCACGCTTATCTCTATAGTAACTTTTTATTTGTTACAAACGCTTAGTTATATATTGGTTATTCCAGAGACATGTAGATTAAGATTTAAAGGTCTCTGGATAATTCTGAATGATTAACTTTTCTCTGTGAAAAAGTCCACATCCTTGACATCCATACTACAACGCACAACATGTATTTACGAATGTTGTATACAATGGGAATGAATTAATGATTTTTTTGGATATTTCAAAATAGTTTTAGGGATACGGGATATTTGTAAAAAAAAATATTGGGATATTAGGGGTAAACATTATAGGGATATGGGATATTGGGACAAAAACTTAATGGGATATGGGATATTGATACCCCCCTTAAACAAGCCTCACCAGAAAGGTAAATCTATGTAGAATTCGGTCGTATGTGTTAATAAGTATTCAGATGATCAAGGATTTGTATACAAATCCTTGAGATGATTAATAAAAATAATATGAAGAATTAATGAAGGGTACCCATTTATTTTCCCATTACTTTCTATGTTAATCGAACATCATTAAAAACATTGCACCCCGGGTGTCGCTGATAAGGGTAATCGACCATTTAGTGTCCTTCATTCTTGGGTATGGTTAATTTTACTACAGCTCCGGAATTATTTTGTGTTTTCTCCATTCAAATTTATTTTTATATCTACCGGAAGTAAACTGGAATTTTGTAAGAACCGTCAACCAGTTCTTCAGGCCACATGCAAACGTTCCACATGCAAATCGCTCAAAAATCATTTTTCGATAATTTTTGAGATAATTTTAGGGTTTTTGTGTCAAAATGAGAGTAACGTGCAATGGGAAAATCTAAACAAAAGAGATTTAAAGTAAAGCAACAACGTCCAACTGGTCTTCCTAGTGTCAAAGACTTTGAAACTGAGATTGAATTTGAAGAAACGTCAACAACAAACTTTTCTCTCCAACCGATTATTGAACAGGTTCAAGATAACATTTTTAATATACTAAAAAGGACTCAATTGATTTAAAGGCACAAGAAAGGATTAAGGTTCATCTATACACTTCAACAAAAATGGCTGTGTTTACACCATGAAATTTTCTCTGAATGCAGACAAAACAGTGTAATTCTAATAGTTTTAAATCCTGGCAGCACCTAGATATATACAAGTTGTATTTATTTCGTGTTTTAAAAAGAAAAAATCTTTTGTGGATTTTGCTAAACATTTTCTTTCCTTGTCACAGGTGGTGTAAAAATAAACAAAGTCATGTGAAATCTTTGAGATGGTCCCCCTCGGGTAATGATTGTATTGTATCATATTGATTGATATGGACAATAGATGGGACAATAGGTATTAGATATAATACAAAGGTAACAAAGAAACAGATCGGTAACAACAGTTGCCGGATAGTTTTTCTGCACGAGTAGTCAGGTCAAGGTCCGAGGTGATAGCCCAGGACCTTGACCTGACTACAAGTGCAGAAAAACTATATGGCAGGTTGTTTCCGGCATGTTTCTTTGTTACCTTTGTTTTGTATCTGACTTGTATGACGTTTCAAGAAAGAAGTAGTACATTTTGCATTTAGAAGAGGTATCAAAACTAAACATTTTAGAAACTTAAATGGCTATATACCATGTATACCAGTTAATGTAAGTTACAGTTTAAACACTTTTTTTTCACTTCCCTTAAGCCGAGAGTTATTTTCTCAAAAAAATCAAGAATCTAATAATTTTATAAAAAAGGAACCATTTCAAGTAAAAGATGAATGTTGTACACATTTGAGACTTTTTTAAATGCAACTTAGCAAGTACATTTTGTAAGTAATGTATAAAAAAGATTTTAGAGGTAAGCAAGCTAACATTTGATTTTTATTTGGGGAAAAACGGAAAAAGGGAGGGGGGGGGGGGGGTAAATTAAATTTAGAATAAACAGGCTTGATCCTTTCTTTCATTGAAAAAATGCAGGATGTCCCATTCCATCCCCCATTCCCCCTTTAAGAAAATCGTAAAAATCGTACGTTTGCTGCCAAATATATGAATTCAATACATACGAATTCAACTTATATATGAATTCAATAACAATATAAATGTATCAAAAGAATGAATTTCCTATTTCATTAGTGAATGAAATGTTATAAAAAAAATGGATTTTGTCTTGTTATTAGATATATATAGGCATATATTTTGGATTTTAAAAAAATTTCATGCTTCTAGGTTTCTATATGTCTCTGATAGTGTTGATCAGGATTAAACACGTGTTACTATATGATCCAGTCGCAGCTTACCGTCCAAAATTGATGACATAAGTTGAATGATTTTTTTCAAGATTTGCTGCCTATTTGAACATGTATTATACGGACACTTTTTATTTATAGGATCAATCGTGCATTGGTGAGTTGATAGGGATTTTATCTTTTGATAAGATTTGATTTTTTTATATATATTTCCTGTCTTTTTTATTGAAATATAAACGTCGGTATCATCATTTCTTTACTTTCAGCATTGTCCAGAATACTATTCATGTCCATATAGTGAAAAAAAAATACATTTACGGACTGACCATTTAGCTTCAAAAGGGGGATATGTTCTTTTCTGAGTAAGAAAATTATTTAGTTTTTCAACGCTATCACCCAAATTTTTTTTTTTTTAAATTAGCACTATTAGGCCTATATACGGTATTCGGAAAATCAGGAATCAAAACATTATTTTGTCATCTGCTTGACCACAATATATTTTTTCTCATAAAATTGGGGATCAAAATATTTTTTTTAGGAAATAACCATAACCCCCCTTTTAAAGTTAAATGGTCAACCCCTTAGTGTACTGATATGAATAGTAATTTACTGGAATTGTTGGAAGAAAAAAAAATTATTGATGCTAACGTAAATATTTTAATAAAAAAGACAAGAAATATGTCGGTGAAACAAAAAGTTCAAATCTTATTGAAATTTAAAGTGCCCTTGAACTCACTGATCATGCACGAGTGATTCTATTCATAAAAAGTGTCTGTGTAACAACTAAAAAGTGTCTGTGTATCATCTAAAAAGTGTCCGTGTAACACCCGTTAATGTACTGTTTTTCTATAGCTCTGCTGGGGGCAAAGTCGTACAAAAATCTACTCACAACAAAGGTGATTTAAATAGTGTAAATGAGTGGACTGTATCAAAGAAAACTCAGGTGTTTGTTTATTTCACCATCTTCTGTGGCAAGGAAAGAAAATGTTCATCAAAATCCATAAAGTGTTTTTAACTATTTAGAACATAAATTGGATGTAACATTAATTTTTCTAGGTGCTGCCAGGCTTTAAAACTTTAAAAATTACACATTTTTGTCTGTACTCGAGAGAAAATTTCATGGTGTAAACACGGCCATTTTTGTTAAAGTGTATAGATGAACCTTAATAGCAGTCATATACAACTGTCTTACCCTTCTTTAGCTATGTAGTTCATAGCACAGGTTATCCTAGAGTAGAGGCTAGATGTGGAACTGTAACTCTTAGTCCTTATGCATCCGGGTTAGTCAAAATAATTATCATGTCTTGAAAGGCTATTATATTTTTTGCTTTGACGTCTTAACAGCGACGTCATAACACTGAAGCCATCTTTTTTGGTTGGATTTTGAGAGGGAATTTTGCTCTCAACTTTGAGACCCTTTTTAGCCATAAAATTTTCATTGAAGGCTAGAAATTTTTGCATACATGTATATACAAATTCTTACCTTTTATGTGTTTGTGTGTGCAAAATATTCCCAATAATTCCCTAAAGTAATGATAAAATAAGTTACAATTCCATCCAAGGCGGACGATTATCAACTGCTTTTTTTTAAAAGTTTATCTGAAATTTTTTTTGGAGAGTATAAAATAAATTTTTGCACCAAACTCGGTAAAATTGGACAAACCCGAATTATCAGAACATTTGTTTTATATTATTTTATAGTTCTGATCCTGCCTGGAATTAAATGTATGTGATTTTTTTTTATAGAATGAAGATAATAACATCTGTCTGAACTTTTCAATTTTTCATTTTAATATATAAAAATGTTTTTCTGTTACAAATCAGGGTGTATTGTTTTATGTGTACATGTTATGTTGCCCATCAAGGGCCCTTGATTGGAATAATAAATATTCTTATTCTTATTCTTATTCTTATTCTATTATCAAGAAATGCAGGTCCGTCAAATTTTACAGAGTTTGGTGCAAATATATATTTTATACTAAAGTAAAGCATCTTAAGGGCATACGATACAGTTACAGGGGAGGTAATGACATTGCTAACGTAAATTGTTATTTTCGGGACATCAAACTGTGACTTATCGGGAAAAGATGCATTTTTTGACTGATTTTTATCATTCAAACTGATTTAACTTGAAAACAAGTTCATGGACCCCGCTTTTTATACGATTGCAAAAAATTTTTGCGGTCGTATATTGGTATGACGTCGGCGTCGTCGTCCGAAGACACATTGGTTTTCACACTCTAACTTTAGTTTAAGTGAATGGATCTCTATGAAATTTTACCATAAGGTTCAATACCACAAAAGGAAGGTTGGGATTGATTTTGGGGGTTATGGTACCAACAGTTAAGGAATTAGTGGCCAAAAATAAGCATTTTTGTAACTTCCAGACATAACTTGTGTGTTAGTGTATGGATCTCTCTGACATTGTACCACAAGGTTACATATCACACAGGGAATGCTGGGATTGATTTTGGGGGGTAATTGCCTCAAAATATTAGGAATTAGGGGCCAAAAAAGGGGCAAAAAACAAGCATTTTTCTAGTTTCATGACAATAACTTGTGTGTAAGTGTATGGATCTTTCTGAAATTGTACCACAAGGCTCCATATCACACAGGGAATGCTGGGATTGATTTTGGGGGTAATTGCCTCAAAATATTAGGAATTAGGGGCCAAAAAAGGGGCAAAAAACAAGCATTTTTCTAGTTTCATGACAATAACTTGTGTGTAAGTGTATGGATCTTTCTGAAATTGTACCACAAGGCTCCATATCACACAGGGAATGCTGGGATTGATTTTGGGGGTAATTGCCTCAAAATATTAGGAATTAGGGGCCAAAAAAGGGGCAAAAAACAAGCATTTTTCTAGTTTCATGATAATAACTTGTGTGTAAGTGTATGGTAAGTGTATGGATCTTTCTGAAATTGTACTTCAAGGTTCCATATCACAAATGGAAAGCTGGAATTGAGTTTGGGGGTAATTGCCCAAAATGTTTAGGAATAAGGGGCCAAAAATAAGCATTTTTCTAGTTTCCAGACAATAACTTGTGTTCAAGTGTATGGATCTCTCTGAAATTGTACTGCAAGGTACCATACCACAAAGGGAAGGCTGGGATTGAGTTAGGGGGTTATGAATCATTAGGGGGTTCAAAAAATTTGGGGGCAGGATTTTTTTTTTTTTCCTTTTTGTCGAGCCTTCGACTTTAGTCGAAAAAGCGAGACATAGCGATCCTACATTCCGTCGGCGGCGGCGGCGTCCACAAATATTCACTCTGTGGTTAAAAGTTTTTGAAATTTTAATAACTTTCTTAAACTATCCTGGGTTTCTACCAAACTTAGACAGAAGCTTGTTTATGATCATAAGATAGTATCCAGAAGTAAATTTTGTAAAAATAAAATTCCATTTTTTCTGTATTTTACTTATAAATGGACTTAATTTTTCTGCTGGGAAATATTACATTCACTCTGTGGTTAAAGTTTTTAAAATTTTAATAACTTTCTTAAACTATCCTGGGTTTGTACCAAACTTGGACAGAAGCTTGTTTATGATCATAAGATAGTATCTTGAAGTAAATTTTGTAAAAAAATAAATCCATTTTTCCCTTATTTTACTTTTAAATGGACTTAGATTTTCTGCCAGGAAACAACACATTCACTCTGTGGTTAAAGTTTTTAAAATTTTAATAACTTTCTTAATCTATCCTGGGTTTGTACCAAACTTAGACAGAAGCTTGTTTATGATCATAAGATAGTATCTAGAAGTAAATTTTGTAAAAAAATAAATCCATTTTTTCCTTATTTTACTTTAAAATGGACTTAGATTTTCTGCCAGAAAACAACACATTCACTCTGTGGTTAATGTTTTTAAAATTTTAATAACTTTCTTATACTATTTTGGATCTGTACCAAACTTGGACAGAAGCTTGTTTATGATCAAAAGCTAGTATCTAGAAGGAAATTTTGTAAAAAAATAAATCCATTTTTTCAGTATTTTATTTTTTAAATGGACTGAGATTTTCTGCCAGGAAACAACATATTCACTCTGTGGTTAAAGTTTTTAAATTTTAATAACTTTCTTATACTATTTTGGATTTGTACCAAACTTGGACAGAAGCTTGTTTATGATCAAATGCTAGTATCTAGAAGGAAATTTTGTTTTCTTCCAGTTAACATTACATTTAAGTCTGCAGTTAGTTTTTAAACATTTATTAGATTCATAAACTATCCTGGATTTTTACCAAACTTGGACAGAAGCTTCTCACAATCAAAAAATAGTATCAAGAGGAATATTTTTATTGATTTACTTGCTCATTTTTGTTGAGCCTGCGATTAACAGAAAAAGTAGGCGAGACACTGGGTTCTGCGGAACCCTTATGAATTTTTTAGAAAAACGATAAGAAAATTCATGAAGTAAATGCAACGAAACAGTCAATACAAGGTTGTTTATGCTGTGAATCTAGTGTGAATAATTTCGACAGTTTGAAAAAAAGGGCCCAACTCTTAACTTGAGTCATCTCTAAATGACTGAAATTGTGGTGAAAAATTTCCTGATCCTTGATCTGACATCCCAACGTTGATGAACGTTAACACTGTATCAAGGTTTTTTGTCCACCAAATACATTTGCATACTTCATTGGAAACAGGGATCTCAATGACCTGTTTGATGATGGCCTTTTCTTTACCATTGTTTACTTGTATTCTTCAATCATCTAATAATCTCCTCCATGGGCCTACCATCATTAAATAATTGTGCCATGGTTTATATCCTTGCTAGCCAACAGTTACAATTTTGACCCGTCCCTCTTTAACCCTGGCAGATTAAGTCATAATTTTTGATCCACGAAGTAATTATTTCCATTGGACGCAGTTGTACATTGTAACTAGCTGCATCCAACCAAAAAGGCTTTAGGATGGTCAAGTGTAAATATAGAAATAGAAAATGTAAATAAACAATTGCCGCATGCAGATTGTGCAACACATCTTTACCCCCAAAATAAGTGTGATATTAAGTGACTTTTTTGGAAGTTCTTATTCGACTAATTGAAGTTCTTGGTTATGTTCCTGGTACAGTTGCTGGAATGTCAGCGTATATATGCAGTTTCTACTTTAAGAAATTTGTAAACACTGAACACAAATCATTTTTACACCTCCGAACTAAAGAGTACAATTGTTGTCATTTGTTAATTATGATCATGTAGTTGGAGTGGGCATGACTTCTATCTGTTGCTAGATGGCACTACTCTGTTTACACTAATACTGTCTTAATCCGCCAAGGAAGAAGAGGAGTGGGTCTGATTGTAACCCTTGGCCAACAAAGATGGGTTGAAAAGTGTAGTCAGAATTTGTTTTTGACTTTTGACTTTTGCTAGCTGCAATTTTGTTTGCAATTAGAAGCAATTGCCTGAAATGACTTAACCTGTTTTGTATTATAATCCAAAGGGTCCTAATTTCTGCTGTAATGACATAAACATGATAAATTATACTCGGTAATCATTAAATAGATAGACACGACTGACAGGAAAATACATTGATCAAGTTCTGACAAGAAAAGACTTTAATGTAAACAGGACAGCTAAATTGTGGCCATCCTTAACTAAGAGAAGCCCATCTTGATATTGGTCTTGTTACAGATGACAAGTATTGATAATGTTGGTCATCTTCAATGAAATTGATATGTTAAACAATATATCAGTCTATTCCGTATTATTACAAGAAAATTGAGGAATGAAATAATTTCAATCAAGACGTCCTGGGTGTTGTGTTGTTGAAAGTTACTCCATTGTCATCCATGGAGATCCATGGAGATCCATAGGAAGACTACAATATGTTTGTAATTAACTACTCAACTCTTTCCATCATTTTGATTATTTCTAATTATACATATTTTTCAGTTATCAAGTGTGAATGAGGAAACCAGAGAATGTGGTTGTGCTTCTCTAGCCAACCTTGTATCTAACCCAGCACATATTAACATACTACTACAAAAAGATTGTATCAAGATATTGGCACCATTATTTGTAGATACCAGTCCTCAAGTTAGCATAAAGGCATTAGGAGCAGTCAGGTACTTATATATGTACATGTTATATGCCATCAAGGCAATATTAAAAAAAAAAAATAAGAGCATATCCATTTCAAAATTTCAAATGGCTTTGGATGTTCTGAAAATGAAAATAACAGCCTTAAATATCTGCATAAAGCTAATTTTGATTGTCAGTTATTTTATTAGAATGAGGTGTTAACATTGTTATATGTTACTTAGCAATACTAAAGGATACATTAAATTGAGTATCCTTGGTGTCGAAAGTTATTCTTACAAATGCTATAAACAATGTATGATAGGTGCACTATTGTCAAATGTACCCTAATGCTCAAACCCATGGCTTGTGTTCAAATTTCACAGGTCCTTATGCAAAAATCCTAATGATGTAAACAGTATTACTGTTGGACCAAATAAGTAGGATGATGATCAAATACACATCATGATCAAACATGAGAGAGTTTGACAACAGACCTTAGAGAAGTTCAGTGGTTAAAAAGTGACTCGTGGACAAACAGATTGTTGTTTTCTTTGTGACAATGTGACAGGCTGACGGGGAACAAAATAGTTTTAAATAGGCCTCAGAACTAGGAAGGCAGATAAACTTGTTCACAAAATTATTTTAAAAGAGCTTCATTAAAGCTACAGAAAACATGAAAAATTACTTGCATTATTACCATGATTACCAAAAGTAACATTTTATGATCCATCATCATCATAATGCCTGATCAAAGAAATCATTATGTATTTGGATAAATCAACAAAATGCAGAAACTAATTTTGCATAAAAACTGCTGTATCTGCACGATCATAAATTAGCTTGTCTTGTAGGAATATAACAGTTGATGGAGGCATTGATGCATGTGAAGTTCTAGTCAAGAAGGATGTATTGACCCCACTGGTGGCCTTGTTTTCACAGGTTTGTTTATAACTGCATAAAATATGTGTATTGACTCATTACTGTTTAATCTTTCTGTAATGACTTAAATGAACAATTTGTTAACAAATTTGTATATTCAGAAATAAGTAGGTATTATAAGGTACACATGGATTTAAATTATAGGAAGAAAACTTTGAATGTACAAAAATATCGAATTTATATTTTTTCTTGCTTTTTTTTGTTTATCTCTTTTTGGCCTTTTGGGAAATCTTATCACTTCAAACAAATTTTGCGAAACATCTATTTGTGCTAGGATTTCAAATCAATATATACTAGTCAATTTTTGAGAAACATAATTTTGTGATAGGATTTCAACAAAAGTTGATACATGCATACAGTGATACTGGTATTATACATGTAAGATTTTTGGAAACATCTGTTTGTGCTAGGATTTCAATGAAAATTGATATACATGTATATATATAGGTACATAGGTACAATATGATATGCCAAACTGATTCCTAGTGTCTTAAATTATCCAGTGTCCACCATTTTCGAGATGGCCACCAAATTACATAATAACTGGTATTAGTGCTAATTTTTAAAGGATAATTGACATCTATGTAGAACATGTCCTGTATAAATTCCTGGAGTCAAAATTTTTAGAAATTGATACCATATGAACATGTACTGCTTTGTTTGCATTAATATGAACTGTTTATTTCTGAGCCTCTCACAAACATGTTAAATCAAGGCCCTTACTGAAGTTTTCTTTTTTTTTTCCAGTTTGAAGTCGGTTGGAACCCTGATCAAATTAGTTTGAAAAAGCTTCGGGATTTAAGAATAGAAATATTTACAGAAGCAACTCATATATTATGGAATTTGTGGTATAGTATAAAATAAAGCAAATACTTGCAAATTTTAATCACTGTTCACTTAATTGAAAAAATCATTTTATATGGGTATAAATTTCTCGTTTGAATTGTTTTACATTTGTCATTTTTGGGTCTTTTATAGCTGACTATGCGGTAAGGGTTTTACTTATTGTTGAAGGCCATACATTGACCTGTAGTTGTTAATTTCTGTGTCATTTGGTATCTTGTGGAGAGTTGTCTCATAAGCAATCATACCACATCTTCTCATTTTTACATTATATATACAATAGTGTATTTGGTTAAAGTTTAAAAATACAGGATTGACAAAAAATATCAATGTGACTGAAATCATCTTTTGACTCTTTATAGTAGTTGCTCCTTTTAAAAAAACAATAGTTAACCAATTCTGTTGTTGCCTTTAAACCTGTCGTGTTAAGACTGAAGGGTTACTAACACATTATTAGACCCATACTTATATTATAAGTGTTCATTACTTTTCTTTTGACTTAACAGTTCAGATTGAATTTTACCTACTGTTCATATTTTATATAACTTATACTGAATATTTGCTAGATATTGAAACCATTAGTGTTTATCCAGGTGAAACAGATTTTATCAGGGGACTTTATCTGAGATTTACTTATCAGAAATTTGAGCAATTTTAGCTTTACAACCTGATATTTAACACTTGTTTGATGATAGCACCTGCCATTGTTTTTTTTTTAACTTTCGTAGTATCAGGTGATCACATGTCATGTGACTTTTAATGGTTGTAAAGTTGAATAAAGTGATGATTTTATACACGTTTTTACTTTGTAACATTTTCTAAAAAACCTTCATACAATTCATAATTGCAGACATGTTAATGCCATCTTGTTAACTGTATGAATTTGATTAAGGAACAAAATTAATCTGTCAATTTTTTTGTTTTGTCAACAATTAGATTCCTAATTGATATTCAATATTTTAAAAGAGTTTGATAATCCAGATTAAACGATTCAATGAGTACCAACAAACTATAAATAAAATTAGCAGAGATTAATGTTTATTTCAGCACTAATATATCAACAGAAATATTACAATTTATTTATTTATTTATTGTGTAATAAAGAATATTCATAATGATTCCGTATTCCGTATAAGATTCACTGACTGTGATTTGCATTTAAACAACTTCCCAATTAACACTTCCTGTTGTTCTCAATCAAACACATCCGTGGAAACAATAAAGAATCAAACATTGTTTGCTAAATTATTTATTTTGCATAAGTAGTTTCATTATCCTGTAATAAACCGGGACTAGAGTTCAATTTGTCTACAAAAAAGAAATCACTTTTCAATGGACGCATGTTACCGAGTTTCAAGTTGGGATTTTCCCAGAAAGTATGTATTTTCAGTTCTAATTTAATTTTTCAGTGAAGCTTCAGAGGCAGCTGTGAAGATATTCAACAAGGAAAATTTGGTCCATTTGTTGTGGCCGTGTTTACAGTATAAAATATATGGCTATGAATTGTCTATTGCTGTTGGTAAGCATGATATTGTTTAATACACCAGCTATGAACGAACCACATTTTATACATTTTAAAACATACACTGTTTGTCTATAGAAACATTTTGCATGAATTTTCAAGTATATTTTGTCAAAACATGTTGGCTATTCCAATCACAATATGTGCATGATGTATAAGTGTTCACAAGATTGAGATGCATTTCAATATTTGGCCACTCAGGTTTTGTTCCTTAACATTAAGTCAAGGATGCACAGGTACCATCTTTTAATAGAATTAAATAATAAAAAAAAAATCAGATGATTTCTTCAGTCTGGATAGAACGGCAATCAATTGGGGGAAAGACCATTTTTCTGTTGTTCTATTTAATCTTATCTATACAGATTTTACGATAGCATACACAAAATGTGTAAAATGAAGTTGCAAACAAATATCAGAAAATTTTTGAGATTATAAGGTTGAGCAAAATATCTCATAGAAATGAATAAGAACTGAAACTTTGCTATGTTTCATATTAGTACACATAGGTATAGTACACACAGGCTTATCATCCTGTTGTAATCTCCCTTGCTGGTGTTTTGTGAATTACTGTGAAACTGTGGTAAAACACTCTGATTAACTTATAACCTGTCATATAATACTTATATAAATGGAATTCAGAGTGAATCAATCAATCTAATATAACATAATTCACTACAAAATTACTACCAACAGTGATTTAAAACTGAATCACTAAATAAGTACTGTGTATCAAATAAGATTAGGGTTTAAATCAATGAGGCTGAAACCTTACAACAACAAAAAAGATATTTAGGGGTCAACATATATTCAGTGAACTTTATACCTATCACATCCACTGTCATGTACTGAAAGTAAAATCAGGTTTCACATATTACAGCACAATGTCTACAGACTGTGACAGAGGAGAATAAAGAACTTATTGCATTATGCAGACTACCAGACAAAGCAAGTTTATTAGAGAGTATTATAGCCGATGATGCCTTGTCTTCCCAGCATGCATTGCTGAAAACTTTAGTTGTTGGTAAGGTTGTTGATTAGTTTGCTTTTATAATTTTATAGCTGATGATAAACATCAAACTCTAAATGCATTGTTGAAAATTAAATAAATAGATTGGAATAAAAACGACCAGAACTTTTGATAAAACTCTTTAAAATTTGAATTATTTGAAAATGATTTGAAATCCTTTCTCTAAAACTAGTAAAAGCAGGATTTCAGATTGATAACAAAGTACACAGATTTGTACTTTTCCACTTTCCTTTACAAGATTTAGATTAAAGTTTCATATAATATATATATAGTATCAAATGGTGTTGATCACTTCCTGTTTTGTTGTGTTTTATTAGTCTCCTACCCACAAAGTCGAGGGGATTTTAGGTTTGCACTCCGTCCGTCTGTCTGTCTGTCTGTCCATCCGTCAGTCCGGCAAATCAGTTTTCCACACTTTTTTTCTTTGTGCTTGAAGATTTTGATTTGATACTTGGTGTGTTGTTTTATCATGACAAGTTACAGATCAAGTTTGAATTTTGTTCCGGTCTGATGATTTTTTGCAGAGTTATGGTCCTTGGACTTCAAAAATTCACTTAAATAATCAGTTTTCCACACTTTTTCGGTCATGCTTGAAGATATTGACTTGATATTTGTTATATAGTTTACACCATGACAAGTTATAGATCAAGTTAGCATTTTGTTTCAGTACAATGAATTTTTAACCGGTAGGGGACTATGTATTGCCATGCAATACTCTCAGAATGCTTGTTCCAAATTAATTGGGGGTTTTCCTTGGTAGAACCTGAACGTTGCTATTTATACACATAGGGAGGGTTTTCAGAATTTGTAATGACAACACATTGTAGTTGAGATGCACATACTTTCATTGAGTTTGTGGACAAGTTTGAACCCCAGAGTATATTATTTAGTAGGAATTTTAAGTTGTCTAATTATGCCCAACATCTGTGAAAAAGCGATCTCTCATTTTGGAAATATTTAATTTTTTCTCTACAAAAGTTGGTTAAAAAATCAATCCATATGGCATTTAGAATACTATTAAATATTTGAAGACTTATTGTAGCAATTTTTTTTTACAGAAATCAATTATTAAAACAAAGGGAAAAAGCACAAACAATCAAACTGTTTATTATTTAAAGAAAAGACAACTCAATTTTAAACTAGTGGAAGGGAGAAACTGAAAATAACCTGAAATCAAGGAATATTGGTGAAAAGGAAAATAATATATTTATATATTCGTTGGATTTTCAGGTGTCTGATAGCTTTAATCAGTTAGTTGTAGAAAGTTAATTGTTGAACTTAATATGTATTTTAGTTTCCTTACATCAACAAATTGATTATCTTGAGAAGATGTCTAGAAAATGTGATGCCTAATTCGACAAAAAACTTGATTTGATTGTAGGTATTATAACCAATATAAGTGATGATGATTTTACTTCCAACAATCTCCTGACAGTAGTTGTACAGACTTTATCTCATGTTCTAATGGTTGATGCTGTGGAAGTTTTGAGAAATGATGTACATGGAAATATTCAGGTAAATGTTTGTATTAAAAAGGTTAAATGTAATCAGGAAGTTTCTGTCTTTTTCGCAGAAAACATTCACATTAGGGTTTATGGTATTGTCTATAGTCAATAATTGACAGGGGACAATACTTTCAATAAAAAATTTTGAAAGTGCTTGTAAAAATTGAGTCTTTTTAGTACTATATGTATTAGAAACAAACCTTCTCAAAGGAGGTGTGAACACCACTTTAGATATTTATGAATATAGGCTTTATTCTTTATTTTTATACTTAATTCCGGTTTAAAGGAATTTACCAGTACAGTTAACTCTTGTTGTCTCGAACTCGTTTGACTTGAAATTTCGGATGAGTCAAAGTTTTCTCGTGGTCCTGAACTTTGTTCCATATAAATATATGTATTTTGACTCCTGATGAGTCGAAACTGGATGAGTTGAAATTTCGGTTGAGTCGAACTGAATTTGCAGTCCCAAAGTTAACAAAAGCATTCAAAATTCATTGTTTATCTTGAACTAATACACATATGTCAAAACATGACCTCCGGGATTTAAAAGGATTGAAGAGTTACTCTGACAATACACGTGTAATTAAATTTCCGGTCACTGACCACTGTATTGTTTTATAACATGCTATTTCCACAAGTGTTTACCTAAGATTATCTTTTATCACCATGATAAATAATTAGTGATATATTGTTAAAGTTAATGAACAATTATTTATTAAAATGTTTTAAAAACAATTAATCGCGATTTACACGAGAATAAACAATTTTGTCTACTTTAAATGAATTAAATAACGCTAAAATTGATTGGAAATTACTCTTTCGGATAAAAGCTACAGGGAAAAATTGTAACTGATCAAAGAAATAATTAAATAAGTGAAAACAATGTTATTATAATAATGAAATATAATTATTTTTATACATACAAATATATCGATCTGAGAACAGAATATCGATCCACTTCCCATATTTATCCAGATTTATTTTAGCTTAACCAAGCTAAGCAAGAGTGTCCTTTGGTTTTGTCAAACTTCTGGTTTTCGTTTGAGTCGAACTACGGGTATCTCGAAATATTTCTCTGGTCCGGCTGATGTCGAGATAACGAGAGTCGACTGTAGATAAAATTTTGAAGCATTATGGGTTTTTGGACAGTAAAATACTAACAAAGTGCCATTGCATAAAATAGTTTTAAATTCAAGCCAAAAATTTAGTTGATTTGGTTTAAAAAAAAACTGTCTTAAATGAATTTACATCTTGTTGAGAGGGAATTTTACGTTTGCTTCTGCTTTGTACTCTATATTGATGCAATTACTGATTACTAACTTTACTATTGAAATCTTTCTAAATTTTTTTTTTACCTTTCCAGGCTATATGTATATTATAAATAATTGTTGCAAATATCAAAAGACAAATGGTATAACTTATTGCTTTTTTTTTTATTTTTAAAGCTTTTTAGTACATAATTAGATTTCACACCTGCATGCAAGTCCACACTTGTATTTATGTTCACAACGTGGTATTGTCAATTTTTTCCTCAAACACATTTTTAATTTAATAGCTTTAGATATTTGATTAAACTTATACATTTATTGCTAAAATTAGGTAAATACAAACCGATAAAATTTAGAAACAACTTCAAAAATATATATTGATGTTAAGTACAGTAGTTTATCCGACGAACCTTTAAATCTTAACCATCAATGACAGTGTCAAACCCACATTTGATGTCCATTTCAATTAAACGACATTTAGACAAAAATGAATTATACAGGTTCAGTCACGAAAATACAACCATTTTCGAAGCCTTCCTGACCACATATTTTAAATATGGTGATTATGCTGGGTTACTTCCCTTGTAAAGTAATTAAAGGGTTCATAGTATTACATAGTATATCGGCAGGTTAAAGACTGAAAATTAATATTTATCTTTTTATTCTCATAAACTGAATACAAAGTTACAGAGAATGGTACAAATATATATATATCTATATACATTAATAGACTAACTACATGCATTTTCATAGGAGAGAAAACTTATTAGTGATTCAAATAGAGTTCCTTTAATATCTTCAATCAGTTTAAAGGTAAAAAGTATAATTCTATTTTCCACAGGAAACAACAAATGGAAATGGACATGCTGAAAAACCACAAGAAAAAGAAAAACAAAAGACTGAGGTACTTAGTTCATTTATATATTTATTTATCATTCTCATGCAGTACAGATCTATGAGCAATTTAATTTGCTTGAAAGAAAAGAAAGTGCAATTAAAAACCAATTGTTCAGAGAACAAAGGTCTTTCCAAGTTACATTTCTAAATAATTGATAAGAAGCTACTTCCAGTTTTCTCAAAGTTTCTATTGGTGGCCAATTATAGGTTTCTTCATACTGATTAAAAAATATATGGTTTATATATACTTTTCACTTAAATGTGGGAGATAATTTGCTACTTGGGGTTAAAAAAAATTCATTTCTGGTCTCATATGATAGCTTACTTTGCACTGATTCCAAAAATATATGGTTTCCGTATAGTTTTGCCTTCGATATGGGAGATAATTTGTTACTTCCAGTTGAGAAAATGTAATTTCCTATTTCATTAGATAGCTAACTTTCCACTGAATCCGAAAATATATGGTTTCTATATACTTTTCTTTCAAACAAGGGAGATAATTAGCTACTTCCAGATTATAGACGGCAACATTAAAAGGTTATTGTATGCTGATTCTAAAAATATATAGTTTCTAAGTATTTTTTACTTGAATTAGTGCAAAAATAGCTACTTCTGGTTTGCACAAGGTCACTTCCGGTTGATATTTGTCAAGGTCATGTGTTACCCAACCCTTTGCAAAAGACACTATGGCTTTATCATGTACCAGAGTGAAGTTCATTTTCAATATAAATTTTAAAATTTAAGGGGCAATAACTCCTATAAAATATTATCAGATCATTTTGGACTGAATGTACCATTTTTTCGTCTCAACAACCCTAATATTTAGCATCAGTTCTTATATATCTGGCTGTTATAGTACAAGATAGGATACACACAAAAGCAAAGGGCAAAATTTGGAAAATGACCTTGACCTTTGACCTTGACACTATTTTCTTTTTGGTGAACCAAGGACCACAACTCAATATACCCTAGGTCTCTATCACTTATGTCAAATACAAAAGGGGAAATAACTCTCATATTGAGTCTCAGTATCGCTTTAGTTAAAATTGACCGAAACATCCTAAGGATGTAATGAGCCATTTGGAAAAATATTTTTTGGTCAATTTCATTTATGGTTGCGAAGGAGATGGGCACACAAGAAAAACAGTGTTTGGTGAGATAACTCTCACAAAGAATATTGTTAGGTTAAGCAGGGTCAAAATTAAAAGCGCATAAACAGTATGACAGCAAATACCAAATATCTAAGTGACATGTTGCGAAACAAAAATTACGCGCAAGAAACAAATTTGGCTGAAGAAAGAAAAAAAACAACAATTAGAACAAAAGCAAAAGGTCTTTCAACAGAAAAGTGGAAAGACCTAATTTAATTTTTTTTTAAAAACCCACACAAACAAAATATTGTATTCATTATATTAAGTGCCTATCAAAGAGTACTGCTAAAGTCAATATTAAGGACTACTTTGATCAAGCACTTTAGCTAATTGGGTTTGACCTCTTTACATCTGTTCAATTATCTAAAATAATATCAATCTTCCTTATGTATACATTTTTCTGGTATGGGGAGGAGAGTTTACTTCTTTAATAAATTTACTTTATATCTTAGGGGAAGAGATGTTTACTTACATACATGTACTTATGTATTATTTGATCCAATAAAAAAATTACCAAAAATACATATATTTTCATCAATATCATTAAATGAAAAGAAGATATCTATGTCATGAATATATTGCAGAAGAAATCAACAACAGGAAGTACTGAGAATGTAACGAACATACTGAAGGCACAACAGATTGCACTGGAGATTATTACTAACATTTGCTGTTCAGAAGGTATATAGAGTGTTTTTGCATATTGTGTAAGCAATCAAATCCAAATTGACCCAAGAAACTATATATTTATTTGAATGGCTGATTGGATCATTTAAGGCAATTGCAAGTACAGTAGGGTTCTAGCAGGACATTGTGCTTCTCACAAAACTTTTGTTTATTTCCAAAATTTTGTCAAGATGTACATTGTTCATTTGTATAAAAAATTATATGTAGTATGATTGCCAATTAGACAAATCTCCTCCATATACCAGATGACGTAGAAGTTAGCAACTATAAGGTCACAGTAAGGCCTTTAACAATGAGCAAAACCCATACTGCACAGCCAGCTTTAAAAGGTCCAGACATGACAAATGTAAACCAATTAAAACTAAAGATCTGATTTAAATACAAAACAAGGTATGAAAAAACAAATATGATCTACTGTGATCAAAATTTCTTGTTCTGTAATTTTACATAAAACAGATAAACTAATTAAAGTACTTACTATTCAACAAATTGTTAGGATATGTTTGTTATACAATTGTATTATACTTTGTTTATGCACCGAAAACTATGTTTAATCACAGAAAAGGAATAAACAAATTGTTAATATTTTAGATGATTGGGAAGAGGTTGACACCAGTGAGTCAAGTTCTGATGAAATGTCAGTAGATGTTAACATGGAGGAAACATCTGAGAATTTCTCAGTAAGGATTACTTTAGTTAGGTGTATTGGAATTAATAATAGGTACCATCCCCATATTGTGAAGGAAATGTCAACAGGGCTATCAGATATCCATTTCATAACTGTCAACAATTCATTCCCGAACAATGGAAACAGGCTAAAAGCTGCCCACTCTTAAAAAGAATGATAGATCCATAAATTAGTGCTTTGTTTTGTTTGCATCAATTCTTTAAAAAAAAATTATATATAGGTGACTCCCATTTCAAGCTCTTTTATCTTTAAATTCCTGTTATCTCAAAGTAGAATGTCTGTCCCCTTTAATAGATTTGCATTATATTTAATCCTGATATCTCAAATTATTTTTGTCATTCTGATCAAGAGTAAACTATTTTCAAAAATAAGTTAATCTGCATACTTTATATATTTAAACAGTATAATGTGTCAAGTATATAAATATAATAAATAGGATTAAAGGCAAATCAAAAAGTTTTATCATTTGATATGTTTGGTTTACTGTGGATTCAAGTATCCAAGAAAATTAAAAAAAATCTCAATCCACGAAAACAAATGAATCCATATAAAAATAAGGAGATGTGGTATGATTGCCAATGAGACAACTATCCACCAAAGTTCAAATGAAGTAGATGTAAGCAATTATAGGCAACTGTACGGCCTTCAACAATGAGAAAAAAACCATACCGTATGGTCCTCATTATGAAAAATATGAAACAATTCAAATGAGAAAACTAATGGCCTAATTTATAACAAAACAATTTACGAAAAACAAATATGACAGACATGAACCAACGACAACCACTGAACTACCGGCTCCTGACTTGGGACAGGCACATAAAGAATGTGGTGGGGTTAAACATGTTTGTGAGCGCTCAACCAATAGTATGTCTGTGGGGTCCAACAACACAGTAAAACAAAAAAAAAAAACATCTAGAAATCAACATACTGTCTTCAACAATAGGCAACTGTTTAAGCCATATATGAAAATAAGGAGATATGGTATGATTGCCAATGAGAGAAATATCCACCAGAGTTCAAATAAGTGGATATAAGCAATTCTAGGTCATTGTACGGCCTTCAACAATGAGAAAATCCCATACCCTAAATTTGACTATAATTTACCCCGAAAGGAAAAATGAGAAAACAATTCAAAGGAAAAACTAATGACCTAATTTATAACAAATTAATTTACCAAATATGTCAAGTTATAAATTTTCCAACAGAGGATTTATGAATGAATTAAACTATGTCTATTTTAAAAGGTTTTAAAGATATTTGTCCATGTTTTACTCTTTTTCATGATAATTTGCAGTCATCAGATGTATCAACTGAGGTACAAAATGCTATCACATCAAACCATATATTTACAAAAGTAAGTTATGTTTTCAATTGTTACATAATATATGTTTACAGTTTAAATGATAGAATTGATTAACTAATAATTTAATTTTGGATGTAACACGTCTTCTGATTGGCTGACGTCGTTTTGTTTATCAGCTCATAGACATAATTCTGTCATGTGACCATGACGTCATCAACGTTTTTTCATGATTTACTCCGGTTTTAAATGGAATTTAGAATTAAATTATAAGAAATGACTGTAATATTTTTTCTGTCTATTCGAAATAACATAAAAAATGTGGTGCACACTTTAAAATAACCCGCTACGCGGGTTATTCAGTGTGCACCACATTTTTGATGTTATTTCTTCATAGACAGAAAATATATTACAGTCATTCCTTAAATAAATATATTTGTTTGATATAGCAATACATAAAGTCAAAACTGTCTTCTGTATAATAATTTAATTTTGGATGTAACGCGTCTTCCGATTGGCTGACGTTGTTTTGTTTATCAGCTCATAGACATAATTTTGTCATGTGACCTTGACGTCATCAACGTTTTTTCATGATTTACTCCGGTTTAAAATGGAATTAAGAATTAAATTATAAGAAATGACTGTAATATTTTTTCTGTCTATTCGAAATAACATAAAAAATGTGGTGCACACTTTAAAATAACCTGCTACGCGGGTTATTCAGTGTGCACCACATTTTTGATGTTATTTCTTCATAGACAGAAAAAATATTACAGTCATTCCTTAAATGGTGAAAATATCTATGAGCTCAGCTTTGTAGAACTGCAACCAGCTGGTTGTTGATTAGAGTTCAGTGGCAAAGGAAATGAGACTTTGTTTTTGTTTTGCCGTTCGAAAAATTATCAAATGGTTAAAATTGACCCACATATTTTGAGTTTTCATAATCAATAAATAAATCAATAAATAAATCATAAGTTTTCGAAGTTGCCAAACTAAGTAGAAAAAATGGATATACTTTTTCCTCTACAATAAAGCTATTTATAACGAATCTACACACAATTAAACTTGACCATTGCTATATACTATCAATACCAGTAAAATATCATTATCCCTTAAAAAAAATTCCAGTAATGCAAACTAACATCAGGAAATATGTTCATAATGACTAAAAAAAAACTCACTTACCAGTCTAATTAGATGCGCAGCACCTTCCAATTCCAAATTTTATTTTATAGTATTTGTAAGAAAAAGTATTTATCAAAGCAATCATTATTTAATAGTGAGAGGAATAGAGTTATTTTATACTACAAACTGTTGGCATGGACAACAATTATTAAGTTTTCCACCATTTGTTAACAGGTATTACAGAAAATAGAGCCAGTTGAAATAGTGCCATTATTACAAAATATAGACAAACAAACTGATATTTTGAAAAGGTAATGTAACGTTGAACTTACTATGAAACAGTACTTTTTATGTGTGATGAATGTGCATGAAACAAATTCCCAAAGATAAACTTTTACAAGTTTGTATGAATAAATGAAAAAATATAAAAATAACACTACTAAAATAAATTTTGTGTGTCCGAAGCACTTAATCAGCCGAACAATGCATATTCATCAAAACAGGTCTTAAGAGCTCACCATACAGTCATTGTTTTTCATGTTCTAAATTACAAAACTGCTAAAGGAATAGAGCTTTAATTGCTATCCTCCATCTTGACAGTTATTCTTAAGGTCTTCAGTGATGAGGTAAGGAACTCATGCCTCACAGAAATGATAGGACAACCACAAGCCTTGACATAAGTGTAAGACAACCAGCAGTGTTGTCTTCAGTGGTACTAATATTCAGTTATAACTACATTTACTACTGATGTTCTTGAACTCAGAAGTTAGTCTGATAAATCAGGAAACTTAAAGTAGACAATAAAAAATTATAAGTCAAAGAAAAACAAACAACACCCTTGCCAAAGAAAAAAGAAAAGATGAAAAATCACAAACAACAGTTCACAAAATATTACAGAATTTTATGGTTTGAGCAATGCAAACTAAACCAAAACCAAGGATGAAAATATATCTTCAGGGAGGGTGAGCAGTTCCTTCTCCTGTAGTGACAATTGCTGTGTTACTCATGACAAGAGAACTAATTTGTCAAAATAAGCTCAAAAACATCGCTTGCAAGAGAATAATTCGACCTCATGTGAATCTGTATTAATGTGAACTTAAATTTACTCCCTAAGCTGGAGATTGGTTACGTATGTATTAGGTGTGTTCAGCTATTAAAAGGAAAAGAATGTCAACATTGAAAGTGCAAAAAGGGTGAATCATTTTGTTGACTGATTCAAACCACAAAAAAATCATAATTATACAGGTAAAAATGATGATTAACTTATTTTTTAAATCTACAACATAAAATCAAATTGACCTAGAAAAATCCAAATGCACGGGGTCGTTCTCTACTTATATTTATGTTTATGTCGGGTTATATGACCATTGGTAGTCTTTGGAGGTCATCTTGATGGTTAATTAGATGGCGTCTAGACAAAAATACACACAAAATGCAGATATATATTATGAGTCCATGCATTGTTTATTGTTTATTTTTGACTTATTGTAATTTGGATATACGTTTTAGTATGTCATAAATCAAATATGAGAAATTGAGTCAAATCGGTGAATATGAATTTGACAGCTAATACCCCTTTCACCTATTTATTCTAATTTTTTGTGTTTAAATTTTCTTTCCTAGTTTTGAAAGGTTACAGATTTATGCCTTGCTATGTTGTAACAACTTAGTCAGTTCTTTAGAGATAACACATCTTGGAGGAATGGATAATTTACACACTGTCTGGAGTGGATTAGTCAAATTGTCATCATCACAGATTGGTAAGTAAATTCCTTTGGTTTCCTGGAGTTTTTTGACTAATTAGCATTATCATTATCACAGTTTGGTTAGAAAACTTTGTGGATTATCTTTCATAAATTGGTTAAATAATAGTAAAACAGATGGTTAACTTGGCTTTCCTTATTGACTTGAAAAATTGTGTTTTTTCTGGAATGGATGACTGTTAATTCAGAAATTATTGTGTGTACTTATTATTGCGAAACCTTGACCTCTGGCAAAGATGTGAAATCAAATTATTGCGACTGCCAAAATTGTATAAAGGAAAATTGCTCTGCAGTGAATGTATCCATGTATTCTCATTACATTTAAGTAACTGATTACAATTCAGTCAAGTTGAGATGGTGATTCATGAATAAAGATTTAGATCAGTCTTTACATTTTTATATGACCGCAAAAAAATTTTGCGGTCGTATATTGGTATGACGTTGGCGTCGTCGTGTCCGTCGTTGCGTCGTCGTCCGAAGACACATTAGTTTTCGCACTCTAACTTTAGTTTAAGTGAACGGATCTCTTTGAAATTTTACCATAAGGTTCAATACCACAAAAGGAAGGTGGGGATTGATTTTGAGGGTTATGGTACCAACAGTTAAGGAATTAGGGGCCAAAAAGGGGCCAAAAATAAGCATTTTCTAGTTTCCAGACAATAACTGTGGAACGGTGTATGGATCTCTCTGAAATTATACTACAAGTTTACATACCACAAAGGGATGGTTAGGATTTGCTTTGGGGGGGTTATGGCTCAAACCGTTTAGGAATAAGGGGCAAAAAAGGGGGAAAAACAAGGTTGTCCTGGTTAATGGACAAATACTTTAGTACACAACATAATTTAAAGCAGTGTAAGGGAGATAAATCAAATACATCATTGAAATTATCTCCCTTACACTGCTTTTAAATTATGTATAAAGTAATGGTTAATGAACAATTAAGATAATTTAAAACAGGGTAAGGGAGGTAATCCAAATACAATGTTTTGGTTACTTCCCTTACACTGCTTTTAAATTATGTTTAAAGAAATGCATATTTATAAAGGAAGACCAGTAAAAATATTTGCAAATGTTGCATCTTTTTTTTTTACAAAAAAATCCATATGAAAGATTTGACACTATATTTTAAATTCTATTATAAAATAGATTAAGTTAGCACTTGGTAAATTTAAATGGGTAATTATGGTTGCAAACTCCATTGGAAATTTGAATTGAGATTATGACCATATCTTGAGGGAAAGAATTTTTTGGGGAAAAAAAGGGGGGGGGGTTAAAAAGAACTTGTGGGGGTCAATTTTTTCTCATTTCAGATTTCAGAAATTAAAAAGAATTATTCTTCAAATATTATTTTTTTTTCAAATTTCAAATATTGAAAAATTTCAAGAAGTAATCTTTAATTGCACAGTATGGCGCATTAGATTTGTAAAATCTTTGACCACATTTATTTATTTGTTATGCCGAATCTAACCGTGTATTTAGATTTTAAATTTTGGGTCCAGTTTTCAAATTGGTCTACATTAAGGTCCAAAGGGTCCAAAATTAAACTTAGTTTGATTTTAACAAAAATTGAATTCTTGGGGTTCTTTGATATGCTAAATTTAAACATGTGTTTAGATTTTTTATTATGGGCCCAGTTTTCAAGTTGGTCCAAGTTGGGGTCCAAAATTAAACTTTGTTTGATTTTAACAAAAATTGAATATATGGGGTTCTTTGATATGCTGAATCTAAACATGTATTTAGATTTTTGATTTTTGGCCCAGTTTTCAAGTTGGTCCAAATTGGGGTCCAAAATTAAACTTTGTTTGATTTCAACAAAAATTGAATATATGGGGTTCTTTGATATGCTGAATCTAACCATGTATTTAGATTTTTTATTTGTGGACCCCGCGATCAAATTGGTTCATATTGAGGTCAAAAGGGTCCAAAATTAAACTTTGTTTGATTTCATCAATAATTGAATTATTGGGGTTCTTTGATATGCCAAATCTAACCGTGTATTTAGATTTTTAATTTTGGGTCCTGTTTTTTAGATTGGTCTACATTAAGGTCCAAAGGGTCCAAAATTAAACTTAGTTTGATTTTAACAAAAATTGAATTCTTGGGGTTCTTTGATATGCTGAATCTAAACATGTATTTAGATTTTAGATTTTTGGCCCAGTTTTCAAATTGGTCCAAATTGGGGTCCAAAATTAAACTTTGTTTGATTTCAACTAAAATTGAATATATGGGGTTCTTTGATATGCTGAATCTAACCATGTATTTAGATTTTTATTTGTGGGCCCCGCTATCAAATTGGTTCATATTGAGGTCAAAAGGGTCCAAAATTAAACTTTGTTTGATTTCATCAAAAATTGAATTATTGGGGTTCTTTGATATGCCAAATCTAACCGTGTATTTAGATTTTTAATTTTGGGTCCCGTTTTGTAAATTGGTCTACATTAAGGTCCAAAGGGTCCAAAATTAAACTTAGTTTGATTTTAACAAAAATTGAATTCTTGGGGTTCTTTGGTATGCTGAATCTAAACATGTGTTTAGATTTTTGATTATGGGCCCAGTTTTCAAGTTTGTCCAAGTTGGGGTCCAAAAATAAACTTTGTTTGATTTCAACAAAAAAATTTAATATATGGGGTTCTTTGGTATGCTGAATCTAACCATGTATTTTGATTTTGGACATTGGACCATAATAGGTAAATTAAAAAAATTCAAGTTCTTAGACCACATTCTTTCTGTGTCAGAAACCTATGCTGTGTCAAATATTTAATCACAATCCAAATTCAGAGCTGTATCAAGCTTGAATGTTGTGTCCATACTTGCCCCAACTGTTCAGGGTTCGACCTCTGCGGTCGTATCAAGCTGCGCCCAGCGAAGCATTTTATTACCATCTGATCTGAAAGTTTTATTGCAGTATCAATTATTCTTTTTGGATCATTTATTCTTGGTTCAAAATTAAGTACAATTAATAATAGCAATTCCTACCATTTTACAAATCAGAAATAAATTAAAGGTTACACTACATAATTTCTTACTAGTTGGTAAACAGAAAGAAAAATATTTATACCAACTGTGCGAGACCCTCATGGGTGGTCAAGGTTGTAAAACACCCCCTAGTAGTAAATGTTTCTGATGTTACTTGTTTTTCCAAGGAAATTAATCAAATATCTGATAAAGCATTGATAAAACAAACCGACAAAATGAGCTTAACTCTGCAAATTCATTTTTACACGAATTAGTTTATGTATCAAGAATTATAAATTAAAGGATAGAACCGTTTAGAATTGTGAATATTTTAATTGACTAATACACGTAAGACTTAGGTTATTCGTATTTAATAAAAGGGGGTCCAAACGTATTTTTTGTACAATCATCTTCTTAACTTACGGAAATGGCTTTTTAACCGTCTGTAAATATTAAAATTGAAAATGACCCAGCCTTGTTCTCCAATTTCATATGTGATAGCTGTCGGTACTATTAAGATCGAACTAACCAGAAATAGGAAAATTGGACTAAAATAAAAATTGAACGAATGACTCTATTCAGCAGCGTACATCAACAGAATGTAACCAATAGACTATTCGGGTTACTTCGCACGTATATACAACAAAAACTTGTCTGTTCGTAGTTTTCCGTGAACACGAAAATGACCGAAAAGTGTCAGTGATTTGATCAATCACAGCGGAGAATCAACTTCCATGCCAGATATTAAACCAATTAACGAGTTATCGAAAGATGGGTGGTAACGCAGATGAAACCTTTGAAGTGACGACGTTGTTATTCCTTTTAAATATTACTTCCATGGTTGTATCATCAGAACAAGTGAAATTTTTTTTTTTAACATATTGTTGTAGTATGTGCACTAGTGAAACTCTTTTTAGATTAAAAGGGGGAAGGGGTTATACATTTCTTTGGAGTAGCTTAAGCATTCATTTCTTTTGTTGTAGTTATGAAAAATCTTGAATTGTTAGAGGCTGTTACTAGCTGTATGAGGGCTGTTGTCCAAAAACTTGCCGACCTGGAATCACCTAAGGTAACATTCTATTCAGGTTACACAATTTGTGAAAGCAATTGTAAATGAAATATAAATACTGAATACAATTAATGCTGTTAGATATTCCAGAAGCCTTTATGATTGAAAACAAATTTTTCCTACTTTGAAGTTTCATTCATATTATGACTCTGCAAGTGGAGTTAACTCCTACAATCTTGTAGAAATTAAAACAATTGTCTGTTCTAGATATTAAAAATGTTGTATTTATTTTCAGCTGTTAGAAGTTTCACCACAGGATTTACAGTTTCTATATGAAATGGAACAGCAATGTGGACAGTCAGATATTAAAGTTAACGCTGTTAGAATAGTATCCACCATTGGTTGTGTGTTTGCTAAAGAACTTCAACCAAATTCATTTCTTAAGGTGAATTAACATTTTGATTTTATATATTTTTTTTTGTCCTTGCCAATAAGTGACCAAGGAATACTGCTTTTATAGTTATTCATTTTTGTCGAGCCTGCGACATTTATGTTGCGAAAGCGAGACATAGCGATCCTACAGCAAAATTTTGAAAATATTCATTTTCATTTTTTACGTATTTTACTGATAAATGGACTTATCTTTTTTTTTACAGTTAACATTTAAAGTCAGTCTGAGGTTAAAGTTTTTCAGTCATCAATAACTTTGTCAAACCTTCATGGAATCTTATGAAATTTGGACAGAAGCTTGTTTATGACCAAAATACAGTATCCAGAGCAAAATGTTTTAAATATTTATTTTTGAATTTTTCCGTATTTTACTGATAAATTGACTTAGTCTTTTTTTCAGTTAACAAGAAGATACAGTCTAGGGCTAATGTTTGTTACACATCAATTACTTTGTCAAACCTTCATAGAATTTTATGAAACTTTGGCAGAAGCTTTTTTATGATTAAGAGATAATGTCTGAAGCAAATTTTTGAAAATATATTTTCATTTTCAGTATTTTTCTGATAGATGGAGTTAGTGTTATACAGTTAGAATTGACAATCGGGGATTAATTTTTTTTTGACATGATAAATTTGTAAACCTTCATGGATTGTTATGAAACTTGGACAGAAGCTTATCTTCAAGACCATCTAAAGAAAAAGTTTTAATTTTTTTTTCTATTCTGTATTTTACTAATAAATGGACACTTTTTAAGTCATTATTACACTTTTACACTGATAGCAGCAATCGTAGGCGAGACACAGGGTTCCGTGGAACCCCTTACACATTTTTAAGCTATGATTGCAAATATCGACCTGTTAGTTTGTATGTTGTTAGATGATCTGGTCCTCTGAAACCACTGCAACAACCTAACATAGCTGATACAGTTCTGAAAGATATTGAATTCCCCCTGCACCATTAAAATATCTTTAAAAAAATTCTGTTAAGAAATAATTGCTACAGAAAAGAAGGGGACAGTTACATTTGTGATTTGAAGTTTGAAGTAAGGGGGATAACCCCAACCCATCAAACTAGGTCACTGCCACTAAAGGTAGAAAAATACTCACACAAAAAATAATGAAGTAAATCTGAGAAATCTTAGCAAAGGTATATTTTTATGCCCCCGCCGTAGCGTTGGGGGCATTAAGTTTTACCCTTGTCCGTACGTACCAAAATTGGTTTGCGTTCTCTAACTTGAGTTTGCCTCAACCAAATGTTATGAAACTTATACACAATGCTTATTACCACAAAACACAGATCAAGTTTGAATTTTGATGGCGTCACTTTAACCGTTCTAGAGTTATGCCCCTTTATAAATGGAAAAATTGCAAAATTTTTAGTTTCCGTTCCCTTAAGTTTGCTTCAACCAAATGTTATGAAACTTATACACAATGCTTATTACCACAAAACGCAGATCAAGTTTGAATTTTGGTGGCGTCACTTCAACCGTTCTAGAGTTGATGTCCCTTTATAAATGGAAAAATTGCAAAATTTTTATTTTATTCTAAATATCAAGTAATTTTTAAATTTGGAGTTATCTTCCTTTGTCCATGATTATAGTTGAATCAACTACAATCAATGCTTAACACAATGCAATGTTTAATTTTGACTTCCACTGATAAAACACAGATCAAGTTGAATTTGGGTAATGTCACTTTAACCATTATTGAGTTATGCCCCTTTATAAATCAAACGATTGCAAAATTTTTAGTTTCCATTCTGTAACTTAAGTTTGCCCCAACCAAACATTATGAAACCTATACACAATATTCATTACCACAATACTAAGATCAAGTACAAATTTTTTGTTTCCGTTTTCTCACTTTAGTTTGCCTCAACCAAATGTTATGAAACTTATACACAATGCTTATTTAATGAATGGCTATTATTTATTAAGCAGTTAAGCTGCTTTATGCGAGCACCCTAGATTTGTGTTTTACCCAATAAATGCTGAAATATGTGCCATTGTTATTATCTGGCTGGCTATTATGTTATTTATAACTAATTGAACACTTTCTTCATACTTTTTATTCTGGAATACAAAAAATATGACCAGAAAAACCTTAAATGATCGTCGAACCACCCAAAAGTTTTGAAGTTGCACATAGAAAGTAGTGCTCGTTTGAAATCCTTATGTAGATTATTATCCCCTGTGCTTTTGGCTAAGATGTCAAAGAACAATTGTATGAAATATTTAATTGCCGAAAATCTCTAATTACAAGTCGTTTACATTTGCCAAATGGCAAAAAGCGCAGGAATATTATATACCGTAGAAAGGCTTGTATAGTTCGCAGTGGTACATAGTCCGCACCCCCTTCTCCCCACGAAATTTTAGGTAAAAAAACTTTTTGTAACTGTTAGAAAAGGTCTAATGAAACTCCGGTAATTTCAAATCCTGTGCGGTCGTTTGCGGTATTTCCTTGGAAAAACCTGTTTTCGATCATCAAACAGAAGCTGAAACTGCTTGTTAATGATTCTAGAACGCTTCATGATTGTTAAAATAAGTTTAATTTACTTAAAAAACAAATTAGAAACTTGTGTATGTTTAAACAGGAAGTTTAAAAAGCACGTGTAAAAGAAGAAATTAACCGGTGAGAGTCGAAATCCGTACATAACAGATATCACTATAATACGACTTTGAAAGTAAAACAGTTCCATCCTTTTGTAAAACAGTCTTTAATATATATATCACATTAATGTTGAAGGGTCTTAAGCTAATACAAACCATATTAGTCAGTATGAAACACCAAAACGGAACGAACAATAACCGATTTCGTTTTGTAGTTTACAAATTCTAAGCTGGTTTACGGTTGTCTTTTTCACTATGTTTGTATCGTTTCAATCGAGCAGATACCAGTTTATTTCAACCAATGCATTGAAAAGAAACGAGAAATTTGTAATGAAAGGTTTAGTTTTTATATTTATCAGTATTAATTTGATATTGAATAGAAATAACTTATTAATATGGATGAGTTAAAATTATTAGTTTGAAAAATGATAAGAGCGCCCTCTACAATAGAAATAACAAAGATGGCGGAACGTAAACAAACCACCTCGACCGCGAAATTGAAATTTTTCTCTTATTTCTTGCTTATTGTACTCTATAGTCCGCACCCCGTCTGGAAGGTCCAATTTTGGAGAATAAAACCGCGGACTATACAAGCCTTTCTACGGTAACGGCTGTGACTAATATGACACGGTGTTAAGTCTCAGTTGGCGGTAATTTTAACTTCGTCGACAAAACGTAAATCAAGGACGTTCTAAATTTGGTGGATTGCAGATAATACGAAGGTAATTAATATTAATCATTTTATTCGTTTTTGTCTGAGATGATTGTGATTATTTAAATCATCTTAATTAACTGTATGCTCATTTGTTTTCTTGTTAACACTATATATTCCGTTTATCTCGTAAATGAGCTTCATGCTTTGTCAAATCAAGTTGTTGTTATTGTTATTGAATGAACTAAAACTAGAGATCTGATTGGTCGATGTCAAGGTCATTTCAAGATGGTTTCCTTTGTGTTTTTAGTTCAGGCTTTGGTGTTACAGGCTGCTACATGTGCTTTGATTTAGCTCAATGTGCTTCAAATAATATTGAGATTAAAACTTTAACAATTATTTTCTAAAGGACGGCATTATTTAACTTCCAAAGTTGCATATTTTTGTAAAATATTAAGTCCGAATTTGTGACGCGTCTCACACCGTAATTGTTTTTGATTTACAAGGACTTTTCAATTTCCGTGAAAAATACAACTTTTTCGATGTTTCTTTTTATGAATTTTTCATATTTAAACTTCTAGAATCATTTCTATGCGTTTCCTCCAGCAACTTGATGCTGGTAAAGACTTTTCCATAAAAATACTGCAAAAAGAAATCGCATGATTCGAAAAGAAGGTAACGTTAACGTTGTCAACAAGCAGTTTTTTTTCTTAATTCCTATTACAGTTAAAGTTCAAATAAATGTTTTTTTTTATTATGATATTAGTAATGGAAGACAGTGAAACCGTAATCAAGATATTTTAATTTACTTATAATTTCAAATAAAATTTAGAATGGAAATAGGGAATGTGTCAAAGAGACAACAACCCGATTAAAGAGCAGACAACAGCCGAAGGTTACCAATGGATCTTCAATGCAGCGAGAAACTCCCACACCCGGAGGCTTGCTTCAGCTGGCCCCTTAACAAACATGTATACTAGTTCAGTGATAATGGACTTCATACTAAAATCAGAAATATACACAAGAAATTAAAATTAAAAATCATACAACACTAACAAAGGCCAGGGGCTCCTGACATGGGACCCCAGAGAATATAAACATTAATTATTACAGCATCAATGAAAATGGACAAAGCTAATACATAAAGATTTAGACATGAAGTTTTTTTGCTACATTGTATTTGTCAAAATAAGCAATATTATAACTATCTGTATTTGTTTCTGTTTCTGTTTCAGCTTGATTCCAACCTTTGGCAATGGCTAATACTAGAAGAGGCAAGGCATACATGTACATGTACAATACATGATTCTCTGTAGCACCTGGATAATCCACAATAATTCCATAACAGCAATGAAACTCTAGACTACTATGATGTTATGTACATGTATATCTACATATATGATCAATGTTGAAGATTGTTTATGCCAGGTCTCATCATGTTGACTAGTCCGACAAGTTTTGGTTCAGCTTTCTGACAGGAATAATTATAAACTTGCCAGCAGTAACAACACATGAATATGAGTTATTATTAAGTGCGCCAATCGGTCTAGCAGTATTAGGTCAATGCTATTTGGTGTGCAGTTGTATAAACTTTGTCATTTCTAATTTCCATTGAGATTATTTTGGCCCGCCCCCTCAATCATGCTCTTTTTACTTGGAACCTTATGTTACTTTGAAAATTCATTTATTAGCTTTTGATTTGGTTAGTATTAGGGAAACCAATAGTGGTAGGTCA